CTTTAGAAGATAGCGCAACAAAGCACTTCATGCGTCGTTTCTATAAGAACCTTATGCGTGGGAAAAGTGCAAGCGAGTCTCTTCACCAGGCCATGAAGTGGATGAGAATTCACGGATATTCTGATGTCTCCGAGTGGGCACCTTTTTTTCCTGATTGGAGATGACGTGACATTTGTCTTTGAAAATGTAAGTACTGTAATTTAGATGTTTATTGTCGCTCATTTTGAAACGAGAGTATTACGTTCAATGTTATACACAATTATGTTCAACTGACGTTTTAGACTCTAGGACACTTTTAAACATTTTTTTCGCCGGACGTTGAGTCAAAGAGGAAGACGAGAGGGAGCCTGGATGGCACACTGCTGCATTGCTGCTTTAACCCACTGGCTTAAAGGAGAGATGCTTGCTCGCAGGCTTAATGAATCACAAGTAAAAAGACTCAAACTTTTTTTTGTTTTTTTGTCTTTTCTGTGTTTCAGAATATGAAGGCCTTGTTAATGAAGGAATCCCGGTAGACATCAAGCAAGCAAAGAGCTGGGAAGCCATTTGCAAATGTAAATAGGGAAGACTAAACTGTTGACAGATTTTCTTGTCATCTTGTATAACGGATGCTTGATGATCTATACGCGCATAGAACTTTTGTTTGTTTGTTTTTTGCTCTTTCAGCCGAGAAGCTAAAGAGACTCTTTGTTTCCCGAAGTTTTAAGGTGCTCTTTTCAGTACAATAAATCAGTTATTTGGCTTAATGTAAATGTAGATTTCATACGAATAATCAAAGACGTTGAGGATATAATCATGTTTGAGAAAAGTAGGCAACACAAAATTTAAATAGATCGGCGGCCTAAAGCCCGTGTAGGCAGTTCGACTTGTCTTTTGTCAAGCTGTAGTCAAGTTTACGCGATATGAACTGTTTCGTGTGAATCAAACCTACAACATGGTTGCGACTCGAGCTCCAGCGCATTTAAGGTGTCATTAAAATTTTGAGACGATTCATTACGGTGCAACGATTTTAAATGATGGCCACCAGAGAGTTTTCAACCACAACAAAGTTAAAACAAAGAATTTTCAACTGAACTGCAAAGTCTAGACCAGTGACAAAAACAGTGTCAAGCCCCACTTCAGGAATTGAGTAAATTAATAAATATAATTTGAATTTTGAAGTTCTTTTTTTGTCTTCCTCATTTCCCACGCACGCGCTGTTTGACGCAGGAACGCGACCGCACTACTTTAGAAATTATGGGTGGAAAAGTTTCGAGCCACGCCCAGAAAACAGGATCTTAGTACCTCGTAGAAGTCCTTTTCAAATTTTCAACGAGTATCCCCGTCCCTTTCATTTGGGAGTCTCTTCCCCCCTGCACTACACCTTTTCTTAATCTCTTTGACACGGGAGGCAACATTCGCAGGAAACATTTTGAATGTAGTTCGCTTGAAGCGCGTTTCTTTTGGCCTCTTTCACACCAAAACACATGCCAACGAAAGTCAGATCATGCGAGACAAAAATATTTGACAGAATCTGGAGAAGAAATGAACCTTTTCACTGATGACAAACTTTTCCGATTTTTTCATTCAAATAAAAATTAACTGCACCGCTCAATTTGTCATGCCGAATTTAGAAAATAGGTGACGTTTCATTAGTATCGTTGCAGTCATAAAAATATGAGACCCCTAACTAACAAGTTTTACAAAGAAATGTAGGCCAGGGGGCAAGCATTGCCCCCTGACATACATTTCTTTGCAACAGGTTTTTATGAAAATTCAGCATGATAAATTGACTTATGTAGATGAGTGTTTTGTCAATTTGAAAAATGCGAAAAATTGTTGATATTGCGTGACATTGGTATAAAGCCTATTGTCACGCGACAACCGCCAATATAAAAGGCCATCACCCTCTCTTACTCAGTAAAGTTTGCGCACAGCTGGAAATGAGATTATACCCAAATGTCACGCAAGTATCATCAATATATTGTGGTGAACACAAGAAAAGGGGCAAACATATCGGACATTCATGGGAGAGAATCTTTTAGCAAAGAAAAATGCAGTTCATTTACCTCAAATCACTACTCGAATGCAAAATTTTTTCCTTTTCTTTTCAAATTTTTCTCCCAGATAAATGTAGACCCAGTTCCCTTCCTTCACCTCCCAATGGAGGTTCACTTTAGGAGGGGAGAGGTTAGGAACTGGAATATAAGCGTCAAAAACAATCGTTGAATGAGATTAAATTTCGATAAACATTTCAAAATAAAAATGAGCGATAGAAATTTTACACAACGTTTTGATGTCGTCATGACATCATTATAGAGTGACAAGAAAATAACGGTTCAACAGTGTTATATATGCAGTGAGAGGTGTGATGGTTCATTAACATATTTGTTTAAACAAACAGTTTCGCGCGGATGGAATCCGATTGCGTGTTCAGGCTAGGTTTCTTCTTTCTAATAAACAGCATTTCGAAATGCTGTTTATTAGAAAGAAGAAACCTAGCCTGAACACGCAATCGGATTCCATCCGTGCGAAACTGTTTGTTTAAACAAATATGTTAATGAACCATCACACCTCTCACCGCATATATAACACTGTTGAACCATTATTTTCTTGTCACTTGATGATGTCATGACGACATCGAAAAGTTGTGTAAAATTTCTATAGCTCATTTTTATTTTGAAAAACAATCGTGACAAGTGAAAAGACAAAGGAGGGCATTATAAATGATGTTTGGCTGGAGTCTTCAAAATTAAGTTCCGAGAGGGGGGTGCATACTTCCTTATAGGGACTATATAGGTATGTGCAGCATCAAAGGGTATGTTGAATTGTATTCTTCTAGTAAAAAAATTGAAGACACATTCAAGCAATAACCCCTAGTTGGAGAGTAGTGATTAAATTGGGAATTCTCACCACCTGTGTGCCTGATAATATCCTGAGATTGTGTAAGGAGAAATTAAATGACATTAATGTTGGTAGTCCTGGGATTATAGGACCAAAGCTAGAGGCAGGAATGACTGAAAGACCCATGTCCGACTGCTACAAATAAGTAGCTTTTGTATATATTTAGGAAAGTGAAATTACAAGTTTGGTTTGGCAAATCAGTGTACAAGTAAAATAAATTCTCTGTACATTTGTTAGTTTGATAAATGCAAGTGTTAACTGTGGTAAGTGAAAATGAGCCAATGAGCTTCTGGATTGACAATGCATATATTTTTGTTGTCCTCATCATCATCAAATGAACAAGATGGTGTTAGGACACCAATACTGCCAGTTTTCTGCTCTAAAAGATGTAAAGTATGAGGATACACAAGGCAAAAACTCTTATAAGCTACTGTTTGAGCAGATCCGGTTGCCACCACCTCTTGTAAGCAACCACCTCTCCTCAGCGACTACTTTTCCAAAATGCCAAAAGTTTCTGATTCAAATCACTATCTTTGCAACCTCTTGTAAGCAACCTGACCACCTCTCTCGTAAGTGGCCACGATCACTTTTAGAGCTAAAAGTTTGAAATGTTCTTTTGTTTTTAACCTCCTGTAAGCAACCACTTGACAGATAATAGAGCAGAAACTGGATAATAAGGCGTTGTAACATTATCACATTCCTAGCTAGTACAAGAGACGGAAATTTCTCAGTGGCAGGTACAGTATTGTTTCTCCAGGTTGACTTTTGACACCAATAAAACCTTTAAAACAAGGGTTTAGTCTATGCAGTTACCATATGCTAATGAGGCAAAATTTTGACCCAATATGGTCTAAGCTCTCGTAAGCGACCAGCCTAGACATTTTGGGTGGTTGCTTATGGGAGGTTCCACTGTATGTTTCAATTTTGTAGCTTAGCATACGGCATAGTAATGATATAGTTTTAGTATTTTCCTGACAAAATCTGTAACTTAAGTCTCAAAATTCCCAGCTGGTCTCCTTCAATTTACAATGTACCTTATGCAGGAAAACAATTCCTGGTACTTTGTTTTAGTTCCAGGCAAAGGTGACCTTTCTATTCTACAGAGATAATATCTGTGACAGTTGCCCCCCCCCTCCCCTCTCCCCCCAACTCCTCAGTAAATTCAAAAGGGCAATTTCACTAGTTGAGTTGTTTTAGCATTGCTAAGATGATGAGTCTTAGAGAGACCACCAGTTCTTCTATGCTATATGGCGAGTCTACACGTGGGACATGAACGAATGCTACGGTGCCTCGGCCTTGTCCAAGGTGCAGTGATTTGTAATAAGTATAATCACACAGAAACCTGGAAGACAACAGCAGAAATAGTCATTTGGCACTCAGAATTAAGTTTCCAGTCACATATAACATATCAAACACAAAAGACCGTGTTTGACCACATTTCCAAACAACGAGAAGAGAGTTGAAAATACGACGTGCAGCAGAGTATTTTTGACAAAGTTTGAGGTCTTTGGAAATGTGGTCAAACACTGTCTTGAGTGTTTGACATATCTTCTCAATCAAAACTTAAACTAAGAAGTAAACGGAATAATAAAATGCTAGAATTCAATGCAAATTAAGATAAGAGATCCAAACACCATCACGGTCATGATTTCCTTTGTTAAAACTTGATGAATTATTAATGAGTTTGAGAAGCTTATTTCCATATCCCACAACAGACAGAACCAAAGTACATTTGAAATGAAAAGTTTCACCATGAACCATACTAAGCCAAATAGAATTTAGTGCTATAAAAACTACAATCGAACTTCTCTAACAGTGACAACTAAGGTGCAGAATGCAGCGTGCATGTTATGGAGCTGCCTTACTATAGTATTAGAGGTAGAGATCTATGAATTCTGGCACGTTCTTTGAGACCAATTAATTGAACTGTCCATAATGTAAAGGTGTCTAGATTAGGGTGGTGTTCATAACTGGTTGGACTGCAGTTTAGTTCTCAATTTCCATCCAGTACAGAAACTACAACTTGATCAAGTCTCCCGCTAAGTTCTTAAATTGAGATAGAGGAGAAATAAAAGAAATTACATGAAGCTTAAGAAAAATTAACTAACCTTCCAGCATCATCTGAAGTACCTACAAGACAAGGGCTCTTAGCTGTCATCACTTCAGAACACACTCTATCCAGATCTAGAGAAGTGAACAAGCATTCACTTCCTCCTAATAAACAAATCACAATATTGGCAATCAGTCTAAAAACTAAGGTGTTAATCTGCTATTTATATATAGAAGTGTACATGTGAACTGGATGAAAGAACAGTGGATTGAAAATTCATCCCTGACCCATCATTTCAGAACACACCCTATCCAGAACTAGAAGTGAACAAGCATTCACTTCCTCCAAATAAACAAATCACAATATTGGCAATCAGTCTTACTAAAAAATCAGGAGTTAATCTGCTATTTATCTAGAAGTGTACATGTGAACTGGATGAAAGAATAGCTCTGTGGATCCAAAATAATATAATTAGTCTAAAAAATAAGGAGTTAATTTGCTATTTACTAGACTAGAGAACAGGGGATCGAAAATTCATCCCACCCATGGTCCTTATCCAGACTGTGCTGAAATTTAACTCTCATAGTGCCTATTTCTGCATACATGTACAATTTTTTAGTGACAAATTACTGTGGAATGTTGCAAGGCACTGAAATTCCAGGCAGGTGGGACATGTAGCATTGTTCTAGCTTGCAAGTGTATCAGGCTGTTAGACACCTTCCCTTGGAAAGTGCTGGCATTGATCAGCTGTTAGGTTCCACTTATCTCACGATTGGAACAGATCTATGCCGGTCACTTTTAACATTCTTAAGATTTTATTTAACAAGATTTTACTCCACTGGAAATTAGAGCCAAATTATTTAGGAGTGGAACGCTAGATAAATTAGGTTTTCGATGCCACCATCTTGGATTGTAATTGGATCCACACCCCAATCCTTGACAGTTACCAAATCCAAGATGGCAGCCTAATACGAAAATGTGCACTAGCACACCCAAAATACACCTGCACTGCAGGCTAGTGGAGGCAAAAGACACTGGGCAAAAGGGAGCACAGGAACAAAATCCTTGCCATTTGTACCTGCACTCATCTCACTAAGCAGATTTTCCACTTACATCCTTTGAGCCTCCGTGGAGAACAGAGGACACATTAAACCCTTAAACCAGAGCAATGATTCATAGATAATTGCCAAGGATAGCAGATCAACCACTCACCATCAACACAGCAGCCTTGGGCACACTTTTTACCAGACTCATCTGGCCTATTATAACCATGGTTATGACCACACATCTCCAGCTGAATGCTGTCTGCAAGGCCATGAACACCAACATGTACACAGAGCTGGTGAAAAAAAAAACCCTGTCAGTCAAGAATACCGTTAGACAAACTACAAACTGTTTCATGGAATATCACTCTTCTTGTCCAGAAGAGACAGCATGGATCAATGTATTTTGTTATCCAGGCAGAAATCAGTAAATTAAACCTTTTCTTTTCCTTGTCTGTGACAATCATTATATATTTTTGAGCTTTTGTTGATACTTTTAAACAGTATTTGATTACTCCCACCCTCTATTCCCCCACCTAGGGCAGATCTTGGGGGCGGGGGGAGGGAGGGAGGGGGACAGTTTGCAGGGTTTGGTCAAACCCCTTAAATTAAAAAAAAATAGACATTATAACAAGCTGACTTGGCCTCAAAATGCTACTAATCCAGTTTCTGAGGACCACAATTTTGAAAATTTTCTGGGGGAAGATGCCCTTGGCAGCCCCCACAGGGGTATCTCGAGCCCACTTCTCTAAAATTCTGTATCCACCCCAGCTTCCCTCACTCTCCCCACTAAATATTTACTGATTTGATACTCTATGTTTCCATTGTAAAAATAAGAACCTATCACAGGTCGATATAGCTGGTGGCAAGGATGCAAGGGCCCATACCCCCTTTTCCTTGCATAATTTTGTTTTAACTTGCGGCTAACCATCTTCAAGTGGTCTGTGTGCTGTGGGTATATGGTGAGGTTTCACTGTTGCCGAAATTTTCACCCCCCTCTTTCTGAATTTTCTCAATCAGCCCCTAACAGTGATCATCAAATTTGATATTCTCAGTGTTAACCTCCCAAACAGGTTTTCCAGAAAGCTTATCTCGAAATGATCACATAGCCCGTTTACAGTTATTTTCTTTTAGTGTGCAAGAGTCAGTGCAGAATGTGAGAGACAGAGTGATCCTGTGGATAATATCTGGAGCTATTTAGTATTTTGTTAACCCTGCGATGGACTAGCATCCCATCCAGGGGGGAGAAGAAATAATCCCATTGCAAGAGTCAGTGCAGAATGCGAGAGGCAGAGCAATCCTGTGGATAATACCTGGAGCTATTTAGCATTTTGTTAACCCTGCGATGGACTAGCATCCCATCCAGGGGGGAGAAGAAATATTCCTAGTTGCTTCATGCTACAGAAACTTGAGATAAGTGCCAGCCTGATTGGCCAATTGGCCTGTAGAATTTCGTTTAGCACTTTAATATGTATTTTTATTGTCACCTTTGGCTTGACCTCATTCCACAATGAAGGAACCTGCTCATCTACTGCCATGTACTCCACAGGAATCTCCTTTATCACCAGATTGACCTCCTGTGCAAGGTCAGTGTTTGGTAGCTCCTAATTTTCAACACATACAGCTACACTTTACTGACATGATCACTAAAAACTGGAAAAACCTGTTCAAACTACTCTATGGATACCTGGACAGCAGCCCAACTTGTGTTGATTTGATGCAAGCCAAAAGGGCCAAAGCCTATGAGATAAAACAAAGAAAACTTACAGACTCTGTAAGCGAGCGCTCTTAGAGGCAATGCTGAACCTGCTTTTAGGCTATATGGACCTGGCCTTGGACAGTCTGGGCTCAATTATTGGCTGAGGTTGATCATTGTATTGTATTTGTGAAGGGGTAGGAGGAATACACCTGTGATGATATTCAATCCTGGTCAAAATCTTTGGGACACTTTGTCATTGTTCCATGAAAAGATTTACTTCACCCTGTTCCCCCCCGCCCCCCCAAACAATGTTGGGTGTCAGGAGTCAAACATATGTCATAAACCTTCCACAGTAACTTCAATGCTGTTCAGGGAGGGCGTGGGGTAAAGATCTTTGTAAGACTATTTACAAGTATGTAAATTGTTGATTACTAGCAGTTGCCACATAAAAAAGCAAGAAAAAAGGGAAGTGTCTGAATCCTTTTGGTCAGGATTGCGGCATACCATTCTGGAGCAGATACAGGATTTTAAAAGAGGGGGTTCAAGATACAGACTGCCTTTGGCGGTCCTTGTAGAGGGAGGGGGGCTGGGGGCATCCTCCCCCAAACAATTTTTAAAACTGAGGTCCTTGGAAGTGGGATTCTGGCATTCTGAGGCCGTCAGAGTGTTNCCATT